GGGAAATCTTATTGTGTGAATAAAAGATTACAAAAAAGGCAAATATTAAAAATTGTGCAATTTTAATTAAAAATTTGCAATTCTGGTGTAATTTGACAAGCACCACTAGTTTTATAGTGTGGTAAAATGTGGGTAGCACGGCTGGGGTGGCCATTTCAATATTCTAAACTAATTAGGTTTTTAAATTTTCATATAAAAAAAAATTTTTTTATAAATTTGCTATTTTAATCATTTTAAAAACTATAATAATAAAAATAAAAAAAACAAAAATAATAGTATCAAAATAAGTAGTACAAATAGCAGAAATACAAAGATATATACAAGTAGTTTAGATGAAAAATAAAAACAATTTGCTAGTATAAAAAAAGGCTTAGATTAGAAATTAAAATAGTAATATATAATATTAATAATATTAAAAACAATAAGCAAAAAATAGATTTATTAGTTAGCTGGTTAAAAGAAGAAGATACAACAATTTGTAGCTTAACAGAAACAAATATTTTAGCAAAAAAAAGCAAATTTATATTAGACAAAAATAATAACTATAATACTATATAAACAAATACAAGTATATTTAAAAAAAAGTTTAGATATAGGCTTTTAATTAAAAAAGATTAGAAAAAATTTATTAGCAATATTCAATATAGTCAAACCTCTCTAAATGCATAGCCTTGAGTAGCCAAAAAATCTGTATTTAGAGAGATATTGTATTTAGAGAAGTAAAAATCTATAAGTATTATATGAGTTGGGCCAAGCAAAACTATACATTTAAAGAGACTATGTATTTAGAGAATATACATTTAGGAAGATCAGACTGTATATAAATGAATATATACTAGAAGTTAGCTAGTTTTTTAAATAGCTTACTCTAATTATTTTAATAATTAAACACTATATAAACAAACTACCAATCACCCAATATATAATAATAGATAACTTTAACAATATTATAGATTAAATACTTAACAAAAATAACCCTAATTTAATATATAACCAAAAGCTTTTATCACTTTATTAATAGTTTTTAAATTAGAATTTTGTAGATTTATTTAGATTTTTAAATTTAGATAAAAGAGAATTTATATAGTTTAACAACAACTTAGTATTAAAAATAAATCAGATTTGAATCTTAGAAAACCAAAATTGCTTCAAACTGATATATATAATATATAATAATATACAAAAAGTAATCATGATTTAGCTTTAATAGAGTTGCAAATCAAGTATTTTAAAGTATAGTATAGTACTATACAAGCCAGATTCAAAGGCTATATAAAAACAATTTTTTAATATAATAAAGCAACTAAAGAAAATTAGAATAGTTACAGAGCAAGTTTAAAAAAAATATTTAAAAACAAAAAAATAACCAAAGTATTATTCAATATAGTAGAAAACCAAATAATTAATCTTAATAAAATATAGAATAATATAGCAAGTAGTATAATTGAAGTAGTTACTTTTAATATTCTAAAGAAAAAAATTTCAAATATAGTTACAAATATAAGTAAAAAAATAAAAAAATTTTACTTGTATAAATCTACTACAAGCCTAAGTAAATTGATTATACAAGAAAAAAAAAAATAGATATAAATATAAATTTTTAAACAAGAAACTAAATAAACAGAACTATAGATCTCTTTAATAAAAATCTTTAGACTAATATATTGAAAGTAAGCTAAGAATAAGCACAGAATTGGATAGAAAACTTTAAAAGCTAATAGTATATCTTATATAATAGACTCTTTGTTGAACTTAAAAACTAAAAATAGAAAGAAATTAAAGAATATATTAAAAAAAGATATTTAATAATACAAAATAATCAAGACAAAATGCTAAAAAGTCCAATTTACAGAAATTAAAATTAACTTTTTCTGCTGATTTTTTTTTATAAAATCTGCAAAAAGAAACACTACTAGCTAAAAGAAAAACTAGACTAAGTTACAGTACAAACAGTATTAAAGAACACCAAAAACAACTAGAAGTTTCATAGAAAGATAAAACATTTTAGCAAATAATAAAAGGCTACAGCATGAATAACTAACTTTTTTACAAGACAAAAACCACACAAAAATTTTTTTTCAAAAAGTAGAGATATACAATAAACCCTGTATTGCAGATCTGTTTACAAGCATAAACACAAAACAAAACAAACAGGTACGTATCCAGTTTAGGCAAGAGAATAAGCTGACAACACAAAATCCAAAATAAACAAAATGTAAACAAACATGTAAACAGATTACATAAGCAAAACACTGTAGCAATTGAGAACACAATGCAAGAATCAGTAATACAAGATAATTAAAAAATATCTAATAGTATAAACTGGTATAGGAGGTTAGACAAATATCAAAAAATCTTTACCAGAATGGAAGATGAATTCAAAGAAATAAAAAAAGCTCATAAGCCAGAAGTATTGAGAATAGATAAAGAGTTAGTAGCAATAATAGGTGCAGCTTCAAAGATAATATATCTTTTTAGAAATATTATAGAAATATACAACTACTATAAATATATCAAAATAAGAGATAGAGAAAAGCCTACTAGCAATAAAGATAGCAATAGTAATACAAAAGACTCAGATACAAACAGTCTGATAGATAGTCTAATTAAACAAGAAGTAGGTTAACCAGATTTTGAAACAGAAGAAATTAGAACCAAAAATAAACAAGAAAACAAAAAAGCTATATAAATAGCTAACTTAGATAAAAAATCTGACGATATGGAAATAGTCAAAAATATAGAGAGCTACTTAAACTCTCAAAACGGTCTCTTGAAAAAGAAAAAAAGCACCAAAGAAATCGAAGAGCTGGTACAAGAAAATCGTAACCCTAATAATTACGAAGAAGGTACAAACAACAACAATATCTACAAATCAATTTGTGCATCCAAAGATCTTAAAGAAATTAGACTTAAAATGAAGAAAAAACCAGAAAAGATTAATATCACAATATAGGATATCCCAAGTGAAATGAGAACCAGCCAAATTAGAAGATATTTTAGTTTTTATAGAAAAGCAGCAGTTGTAAGAATTAGAGCAAATAGCAAAAACAAGGCAGCTCATATACAAATAGAGCCAAGAGATAGAAAGAAAAAAGAGCTATTACAAACGATTTGGGCAGTATATCTTGAAGAAAGGAAAATGTTAAGACTAACACAGAGCATATTTGACACCAAAATGCTTCAAAAGAGAAGTAGATACAAAGTGATAGTTAAAGATATTCCCAGATCGGCAATAAAATCAGCTTTCTTTATACAAATTAAAAACACAAAAGCAAAGGCAGTATATATATATCTAAGAACAAAAATGAAAATCAACGGCAAACAGCTACTATTTACTTTGAAAGCAATAAAGATATGCAAATAGCATACAAATTCCTAGTGTATTATTACAACACAAAATTAAATTGGCTAGTTAAAAACCAAGAAAAACAAAAAAGAAAACAAGAATTAGCAGATCTAGTAGGCAGAAAAGGCAAAGCAGTAAAAATTTCTATAGAAGATAAAGAAAATAATTTATACGTAGAGAAAGATTAGAACTAATCAAACTATAAAGAAAGATTATCTAATAGAAAGACGAATTCAAAAAAAGAAACCGTAACTAGAAAACCTCTAGTGAGCAAATTAGATACAGAAAATAGCAGAGACGCAAAGACAAATGCTAACAAAAATAGCCCACCTAAAAAAGAAAGTAGTGAAATCAAAAATTTGTTAAACCAAATCCTAAACAGACTTGATAAGCTAGAAACCAAGCAAGAACAACACACAAGTGCTAGAAAGGAAAAAACCTAAACTGCTTCTAAAAGTAGCCATAGGCACCCAAGAGAGCCATTCAGAACAGGAGGCCTGCTTATACAACATATAGACAATAACCAACCTCCTCAAGACAATACAAACAATTTAGAAAGACTGAATATTGGATACCACAATATAAACGGGCTTAAAGCAAACAAAGGCAAATTTGACTTAATTTTAGATTTTATTGAAGAAAAAAAATTAGATATTATAAGCTTAGAGGAAACAAACATCTCTAAAAGAGAAGAAAGACTTCTCACCAAAAATTCTAAAAAGTATCACAGTTTTTAGGCAACAGCAGAAGAATATAAGCACAAGGGGTCAGGGGTAGAAATTATTATAGAAAAAAGATAAGAAAATTATATCTTTAAAGTTAATTATATCTGTTAGAAATAAGGCTAGATTTTAAAAGACTAAGAATATATGTTATAGCATTATATATAGCACCAAATAACTCTAAAATACAAAAAGAAATTTACAAGATTTTAAAAGAAAGATTAGAATTTCAAGATCGCAAACCAAACAAGCTTATAATTCTAGAAGATTTTAATATATCCAAGCAGAAGAAAAAAACAAAGAAATAGAAAAAAGAAAAAGCAAACTGGTATTAAAAAGATCTAGAAACAAAAAGAAATAAATTCTAGATCTTCTAGAAAAGAAAAATATAATTGACGCACTCAAGATAGCAAATCCCCAAAGTCATATAACAACAAGGGCTAGATGAGAAGTAAAACCAAAATCGATTATATTTGGATATTACAAAGCTGGAGTCTAAACTTAGTAGTAGCCAAAATGTATGATACAGAGCATATAATAGCAAGCAACCACAAGCTGCTATTAGCCAAAGTAGAAACAGGGCTCTATAAAAGAAAAACCTCTTTTGTGAGGCTCTACAAAAAGGATCGAGACAAAGTTAGTATAGATCTTAAAAAGATAACAGAAGAAGACTGGATCAACTACAAAGAAAAACTAGAAAAAGAATTTAAAAAATCATTCAAAGAAGATAAAAAATATAAACACCAAGCTTTCAATAAAACAGATCTATTAGAAGATAGCAACATAGATAAAACATAGGAAAAAATACAAAAAGCTATTCAAAGAGCAGCAAAAAACACACTCTCCAAAAAAAAAGAACACCAGAACTTCTAGAACTACAACTGGAAAATAAAAAGTTAAAGAGTCTTAAAGAGATATAAAGACAACCAGAAAATAGTGTCGAAAGCTCAAAAAACTCACAAATATGAGAAAAACTACAACTGACAAAGAAGACCCAATAGACAAACTAGTAAAAAAATGGTTATTAGTTTTAGAAAGCAAGTTTACAGATATTTCCTCTAAAGAAAAAACACAAAATAAATAGAAGAAAATGAATACTAAAGCCGAGCTTGAGCTGTAGTGAAAAGGGCTATACAAAACATGGCAAGCAAAAAAAAAGAAAAAAAGAGGAGAAGACAATTCAAGAACATATCGAGAAGAAGCATGCAATAATAGTAAGTAATCAGAAAAAGATGATCAACAGCTTACTAGAAAAACTAACAAACAAATTAAAGTTAGACAGAATATTACTTGAAGAAGAGAATATGGAAGAAGAGCTAATATATAGTTTACAAAAAGTACTTGAATCAATCAAGAACCATTTTCAAAGACAGTTCAAAAAAAGAAATACAAAAGTAGAGAAACTTTCATTATTCTAGAAAAAAGAGTATAAACCATTAGAAAGTATAGAAGAAGAATAGTATGAGAGACTAACTGAGAGAGTAAAGCAAGAAGAGTGGGACCTAGCTCTATTCCAAATGAAAAACAAGTCAGCTCCAGAGTTATTAGAAATATCCTACCCTCTATTTAAAAATATAGAAAAGTATACAAAAAGTAAATTCATCAGCCTAGCATCTGCATATATAAAATCAGAGAAAATCCCCAAAAAGTGGAAAATCAGGATGCTTTATCTAATACCAAAAAAAGAAGAATAAGAATACAAACTGAACAATATCTGACCCATATTACTCCTTGAGACTTTCTGAAAAACAGTTGTCAAAATAGTAAACAACAGATTTAGCAAAATACCAAAAGAAAAAGAAGTACTGAAAGGCTAAAACTTTGCAGAGCTACTAGAAGAAGGAACAGTGGCACCAATACAGCTAATTAACTGTATTCTAGAAGATGCCAAAGAAAAAAAAAAAGAGGTCTGGCTATTTTTTCAAGATATAAAAAAAGCCTTTAATTCAGTGAGCCTCCAAATGCTAAATCTGGCACTAAAAAGAATAAAAATCCTAGAGAAAACCAGAAGCTTTATCATAGATCTTTATGATAAAAAAGAAATAGAGATTTTAACCAAATATAGTTCAACAGAATGATTCTAGGCATAAGATGAAATCGACTAGGGAGAAGTAATTTCTCCTCTAGTATAGAAAATTTTTTATGACACTCTATTAGTTGCGATATAAAAAAAAAAAAGAAGTAGGATATGAAGTTCAGGTAGATTGGCCAACAAATCTAAGAACAAATGAAATAAAAAAGCAAAAAAGGAAAATTGAAGTAATCGCCTAAGCAAACAATTCAATATATATCACAACCTCCAAAGAAGAGCTCAAAAAGATCCTAGAAATCACAAAAAGTTTTTACAAAATTAATGATATTGAGATTAACACAAAAAAGTCAGAGCTAATAGTCTTAAATAAAAGCAAGAAAGAGGAAAACTACTTAGAATTAAAAGAGATTTCAATTAAAAGAAAAAAAAGAAACAACTAGATTTCTAGAAGTGTGGCTCACAGCAAAAGCAAAAAAGAAAAGTAGCAACAAATATAGTTCAAAATGAAGTAAATATGA